GTGCGTCCACATAAATTATGCGAGTTAAATTATTTAAGAAAGGGAATTTCTCAAAAATACGATTCATCCGCAAATGTAACATTTCGCCTTCGAGAGGTTGTAAATAATATCCGAATGAATTATCTTTCGACGTTACCGAAGCACTATCGGCGATAGCTTACGTCAAAACTAACCGATTACGAGATAGTCGACGGGGTAAAAAGGCCGCTTTTAATCGCATGCGTCAAGCTTAACCGAGCGCGTAAGTTTAGCGCCGCGCGGTAATTCATCGGCGATACTTACCCCGGCATCGCGGCGCATCGCTGCGGGATTCCGGGACGTTTTTCTAATCGGCCCGTGATAGGATCGGAGCGGAGAGCGGGAAAAAGCCGCTGCCGACCGGTCCAGGACTCCTCCTGGAGTAACAGCGAGACGGAGATCGCGACCGATATCTCGCGACACCGAGCGCAAGAGATAGGATATTTCTGTGTGTTAACTACATCGGTATGTCCGAAACGATCGATAAATCGTCGTCGCGATAAAAATACTTTTCGCGTAATCGCAGCGACATTTCTCTCTTCCTCTCGTCGCTGCGATCTCACTACGGGATATCACTACGAGGCAAGTGGGTAGGTCAGGGCGCATAAAATGTGATCGTTGACTGTAATACAGAGAGAGAGAGAGAGAGAGAGAGAGAGAGAGAGAAGAGAGAGAGAGTTCTCCCTCATCGCTATCGCCCCCAGGCCGGGCTTAGCCACGGCGGGGGCGTAAACTCGCCTCGAGTTTAATTGTAAATAGGCACCGTCGTACATTGTCGTCCTCACGAGGCACCGTGTAAATATCTGATTCAAGGCGCGTCTAACTTATTGCGAGGCTGTATAGGTGATTCTGTACATATGTAGGTGCGTACACACGTGCGTGCAGAGTGCGGGGGCAGGAATCTCTCCGCGTACGTGCGCACGTGCGTGATCGTTCATTGATGCCTCGAGTCGACGATAGGTATCAATTGAAGAGTTCGCCCGAAAAGGAAATGCGAATGAGAAAAGCTGCGAGAGAAAAAGTAGAGCTTTCAAAAATTCGTATTTTTTTCAAGAGTCCTGTGAAAGTTGTAAAAAAATGGTTCCTAGAGCGAAGCTCCTCATCGAAGATGATAAATTGAATCGCATAATCGTAGTGTGTTTTTCCTTTTGATGGGCGAACTCCGTACGATTTTTCTCACGGGTTTCGGAAGAAACGCTTAGCATTACGTTCGCCTCGTGTTACCTGAATATTCACCCGTAGCTACTTCTGCTCAATGCTAATTATTAAAATAATTGTAACGTAATTATGAATTATATCTCAAAGGGAATATTGTGGCTCAACTTTCGATCGCCTTAAATGCAAAGATCGCACGTTCAACGGAATAAAGCATCATTTGTAATTAATGAAGTAAGAATTAATAAGTAAATTGGAAGACTGCGTTGAAGTCAACTTGATATTTACGATAACGATGCTGTTTATATCTGCCGTCAGATCAATTCTGATTATCAATAAAATCACTACGGTTTGCGATTAACCTTCTTATATTTATTGGTGTACATTACGTGGCTAATTACTAACCGGATATATACCGATGTTAGAATTTTAATTTGAAAAATCAGATACGCGAATCGTAATCGACTCTCGCCTCGATCGACCGTCGCGTCGCGGCTTTTTTTTTTCGCCACGAATGCGAGACGACGCGTGACTGGAATAATCTCATTCGGCCGCGATTCAGCTCGCGACGCACCTCTCGCGCAATTAGGGATATGCAAAAATCGCGGGACAAATGGCGGCGGCCGGCCACCTCCACTTAGCAGTCAATCACAATTAAATACAATTTTGCGCGGGCCGCGGGGCCCGGTAATGGCGCAAAAAGAGAGCAAATTGAAATCTCCTAGCTGACAGAATGATAGATGGTACCGGCCAGACGTGAGAAGACGCGAGAGCAACCGAGAGAGGCGCAAAGGAGTGACGAGAGGGGAAGAGAGACGAGAGAGAAGCGGGGGGAGGAGGATGAGGAGAGAAAAGCGGAGAAACAGTCTTTCTTCCATATCCCTCGATGTGAGAAAGCTCTTCCTCTCCGTTCCGCAAGGAGATCCACCGAGAAGGAACGAAAACACAGAGAGAAGTAAGTCGGGAGCTGATGATAGCGCCACTGCGAAGCCGATTTCTCTCGCTAATATCGCTAATCCTCTCCATCTGTTGAAGATGAGGATCTGATCTTTGCACGGAGCAGCGGTAATTTATATCGATCGGAACGGAGAGAAAGAGACGGGGCGAGATGGAAACTCATTCTCTCTTCTATATAACCGCGGTCATTACGGCAGCGCCGTTTAGAGTCGCAGATTAGTTACGCGCACCTCGAAATAAAGCGCGATGATTATTCGCGCGATGATAAGCGGCGTCTCACGATCACTTCAATATTCTATTCTCACGAAGCATAAATAAGGATCAAAAATGGAAAAATAAGGAAAATCACGAGAGACATGCATGTACACGTAATTATTACACGCAAAAAAAATATATATATATATATATAAAACTATAATTTTATCAAAAATTCATGGTATTTCGTAGATATGAACAAATAAATATTTTTCGTCGCGGAAAGACTTGGTCACATTACAATTTTTAAGATGACCCCCCGTTTTGCCATCGCGACGATAGAAAAATGCGATGGCAGCGTCGCTGTAATATAATACTTTATAGTTGCCACATTCCTCGTCCCATTACGACTCCGTGCGCGTTGTAATGGCAGTATTATAAAAGGAGACGATAAGTCGCGCTCATCCACCTGCTCGGTAATCAAATCGCGGGATTAAATTGCCCACGATTTCGCGTCTTCGCGCGTCGAAAGGGAACTACCGTAGGGGGGTAGCGTACGTACCTCTCTCGGGACATTATCATTCAATTGGCGCCGCTACCGTCGCGGATAAATCACGCGTAATTAGCGGCAAAACAACGAACGGACGCCAATTAATTTCGTTATAAACAACGGGGCCTTTGTCCACCGTGCGAATGTATTTTCCGCGCCGGCTTCCTCAATTAAGACGATAGAGATTTATTCGATTCGCGCGTCGATCGAGCGACGCCAAGGAAAAAGCGAAAGGGGGATGGTGGGCTAATTATTCACTGACCCATTCACAGCGGTAGGGCCCCCACGAACGGGTAAAACGAACAAGGATACGAACGAATAAAGAGGAGACAGACAGAGAGAGAG